CCCCAAAACCCCAAAACCCCAAAACCCCAAAACCCCAAAACCCCAAAACCCCAAAACCCCAATTTTTGACCAAGAATTGAGTCATGTAAAAAGTAATTAGAGCTTAATCTCTGCTTGAGTAGCTATAGGATCTTCTTCTCCTTCTAGAAATTATGAGAAAAGGGTCTTACCTTGAGCCAGATCTATCTCTTCTACCTCTGTATTTGTCGTAGCCGAGGTATTTTCCAGGTGTTGATTTTCTTGGCTTGGATCTTTTAGCGATTTGGACTATAAGATCTCTTCCTTCGAATTCTAACCCATCAAGATCTCTGACAGCATCTTGAGCGTCAGTCTTGGATTCAAAAGTAACGAAGCCGAAGCCTCTGGACTCTCTGACGATAGGGTCGTAGACGATATTGTAGTTATCGATTCTCCCGTACTTTCTAAACTTATCTCTAAGCTCTCTCTCATCAACTTTTTTGGAGAGATTAGCTACATACACTGTCTTTCCTATACATAAGTTCTAGTTTAGATGTTTGGAGGTGGAGCCAGCCTGGAATTTTTGAAAATTGAAATTGGAAAAATTGGAGTGGAACTTGGAAAAATTTGGATCTTTGGCTTGAAATTTTGACCCTGGCCAATGGCAACTTGAAAGTTGGAGTTGAGCAATTGGGGTTGGAACGATGGGGAGTTGAAGTGTGGGGTGGGGGACTTGGTTACCTTGTTGGTCATCTCTGGAGTCTGACGAGAATCTTGAGCGGGATGAAGAGCTTCTTCTCCTTTTTCTGTCTCTAGATCTTCTTCTACGATGTCTTCTATCTCTGGAATCTCTTCTATGTCTTCTATCTCTACTATCTCTTCTATGTCTTCTTCTACTATCTCTTGAGTCTCTACTGATAGATCTTCTATGCTTTCCTCTATGACTTAGAGAAGATCTTTCTCCTGAGCTAATAGACCCTCTTCTTCTCTTTTTCCTATCTTTCTCTTGTGAGTGGCTTTTCCTGCTTCCATTTTGGCTCTTTTCAAGATCTTTGGCTTTTTCATCTTCTGGCTGCTTCTTGTTTTCCTCTCTTGACTCAACTTTTTGGGGTTGGTCGAGAGACTGGTCTGGCTCTTTTGTGGTACCCTCCTTTTCCATTTTTAAAGTAAAATATTACAATCGATTAGAGTACTTAAGGGGTTTTGGGGTTTTGGGGTTTTGGGGTTTTGGGG